TATTAGCCCTATTGCTAGCTACAATACACTGTTTAGATGACTTAAGTGATTTTTCAATCCCAACACCAGTATTTAATGTATTCCAATTTAAATTGTAACAATAATTTGAATTGTGAAAACCTAAATGCATCACCTTACTTTTTGGATAGTTAAACATCATCCACCATATAATGGCCCAATGCATCAAATAATCTAACTCTCCTTGTAAGTATGCAGCATCTTTGATACAGTTAACCACCCCAATGTAATATACAATGTTACATGTACATACAGGAAGTCTTTACCCTCAAGTGTGGTAAAGCTGATAAATGCAACTAGATCATCAGAGGTACAAGCTCTGAAAATTTAGACCCTCAGTTGTTCTAAGCAGCTATTTTTACAATATTCATAGAATTACTCATATGATAAATAATCTGCTTGAAATAGTGCTGTGCACTTAATGCTTATGGTTTGGAGATTTTCAAGTCTTTGTTAAGACAGCAAAAAGTTTATGCAGTTGCAAAGTTGTTTGGTATTTGTTCTGTGAAATTTGTCTTTTTCTTATAAGCTAGTTAGGTTAACACATGTGTAAGAAAAAAATTTACAAAACTAAAATTTAATTTAATCTTATATCAATTGTATTACTTCATTTTCAAGTACTGAATGTATATGCAAATATAATTTACCTAAGCTTGGATTTTGTGAACTATCATAGGAAAATTAAAAGTTCCAATACTGAGTAAAGAAATAGTAAAAATTCATAGAAAAGTCAAGACTGGCATGGACTGGTTATGGTGCTCAAATTGTAATATAAAGGTCAAGAGATTGAAACCTGGTGTCATACATGCTCATCTTTCAGCTGTGAGGAAGTTATGATGTATGTGATGGTCAGTTTTATTACTTGTTAGTAAAGAGTTGGCAGTGGGTGCTGCTGTTCAGCAGTTCAAAATTAGGGATGGTACTCATTGGTAGCAGATGCTTACTAATTTTGCCATAATTCACAACAGTCTGTAGTCTATATTTAATTAATATTATGAGTATTTTTCATCATGATAGTTGATACTTTAGGTTTGGGAATTATTATTTTTTAAGTTATAATATTTAAGGAATATTCTATATTCATGCTTATTGCAACTTATTCTTATCTCCATCCACTAAACTAAGTAAACAGTAACATCACTAGTACTAGTAGTACTGTAGCAGTAATACTAAGTAGCAATAACTATCACTAAAGTAACAGTAACGCTGAACTAGTAAAAATAAAAACAAAAAGGAATTAACACATACCCCAACTAATTTAAATTACTGTGATTTTAGTTGTGGAAGCAAAATAAAATACTTTAAATAGTACTACTACTACTATCTTCTGTAAACTTAAGTTAAAGTGAATTACATTTTACAAGACAGTTAAATACTTAAAATGAATTAGTGTTTATTAGTATTATTCTTTAGTTAGTTTTAGTGTAAATCTTATGAGCATTCATATTATAAGCAAAAGCCTCTTTTAATTTTAGTTTTATGTCTTACCCTAGTTGCTGCAGACTGTAGCGAGTGCTGTTTAAAACTCATTAAGAATAAGAATCTAAGTTTCTAACGAGTCTAAAAGTAAGACTAAGACTTAGATTTTAGTTTTAATTCAACAACTGTACAATTTACCTTGTTGATGTTAACTTTAAATTTTATTTTTAATTTAAAGTTTAAAACGTAAAAGTAAAGACTAAAGTCGATGAGAGCAATATCAAATAGTAATATTCTACGTGACTAGTCTAAAGAGCAAAAGTTCTAAATCTTAAATTTAAACTAATTTACATACAACTTTTAGGCAAAATCTTATCTCACTTGTTCTGACACACGTATTCAAATCATGCTACACGATAGTGACTGTACCGGTGGTATACAACCACAACTTCAACACAAGCAAACACACTTTTGCGCATGCGTAAGTCTAGAAAAAAAAAACATTTGTTTCCTATTTATCTAATACTTTTTTTTCTAATTTATTCGAGTACCGTTATTTCTAAAAAAGTGTAGTACAATAATTGTTGTGTACTTTACATAAATCAGTACGTATCACTAAACCCTAAACTAACAGAGTCTCGCTGAGGGGGAAAAAAAGTGATATATAAAAACAAAAATTACATACTCGATTCATGATGACTGGTCAAGCTTTTCCCCAACTGTAAATTAGGCCGATGGTGTTTTAAATATCTCTCAAGAAAAATTCCCAGTTTCTACAGTTGGTTAATAAACATTAAATCAGACATCACAAGTAAAGAAAACAAAGAATGGCACTCAAGACTTGAAATAGAGAAGTATATTTGACGAGCAAACCACCAAATCAGACTTTCATTACAAATGCTAACAACAATCAAGAAAACATGACAACAGCTAAAAGTAATGGTAGTGTTTGTTTGTTTTTGAATTTCGCGCAAAGCTACACGAGGGCTATCTGCGCTAGCCGTCCCTAATTTAGCAGGGAAAGATTAAAGGGAAAGCAGCTGGTGATCACCACCCGCCGCAAACTCTTGGGCTACTCTTTTTACCAACGACCTCGCCGACCACATTTTATTCCGAAAGTCACGTCTGAGAGACGACCCACTATGTCATATGGGCCTTCCGCTGTCGTAACAGTATTGTTGCTTTATTTGTATATTAGGACTAACATTAACTTCTGATCAAAGTAAGATACTTAAATAGATCAGAATAAAAAATACCCCATAATGAGCATATACTGCTCAAACTATCTTATGTATGATGATTAGAATGCATTGTTGCATCAGTTGAGTGCCCACAGTTAATAATATTTTGGCTTTCATTAGACGTTTTGTGTATTTTGCTAGAGAGAGTTTTGGCATGATGGAGTGATGATGTGTGAGGCTTAGAAATTTCCCGAGCGTGAAACTGCATCTAACTCTTAACTTTTCTGAAGATTTTGAGAGGAAAATATAGTAATAATATAGTTGCAATGCTGTTTTTTCATTGATAGTTTCTTTTCAATTATCATCATTCAGTCAATGTGAGGTTAAGAAATTACGTTATATCCAGCATTAACATTTCTTCAATCTTGAACACTTGTACATTGTCGTAACATGCTGTAGGCCCACATTACAAAACTTCTCTAACACTACTAAGACTAACGTAAAATCAACTTACTTGTACAAAGTAACTGAATAAGTGCAATATTAAAGGTACATCGAAATACTTCATAAAAACACAGTGATTGATTTAATTCTATCTTCAAATAACTGTGCACTCTCTTAACTATATCCTTGACCATTTTTCAACTCACTCCACTCTTGACTCAACTATCGCGCGTTTATAATTTAGCCGGCACTGAATATTTAGATCTTTGTAGGCCAATCTTAACGACATCATTTACGAATCGCAACTCTCTTTTGCAAAAGAAATTACAACATTAAAAACATAGCTTACAACAAGAAGAACACAATAGAGTTTTAGTTAGTTAATAAATCTGTTACTCAGCAGTTTTGAGTCTGCTTCATACATTTATAAGATGAAATTTAACATGTAAATGACTGTTTAATTTTATTTTTGAATTAACCCTACAGCTGGGAAAGCTTTTAGCACTTGTGGTAGAATAAATAAAAGGTTTTTCACCTGGTTAAGTAGACTGGACTTTTTTACTATTGTTACGCCTCCAGTCGTTAATTGATTTTCCGTAAATTCGTTCCGACGAAACTTTAGCGACACAAGTCCTTACTTAATAAAACTGGTTTATTCTTTCCGAATATAACTTTACG